TAGAATTGTTACGGCATCCATAATCCTATGGAATAGCCTTCTCTTTCTTCTTGCATTTGAGGCACAGTTTAATGGATTTGGATTGTCTTGGTCATATACTCATGTAGCGAGTATAGGAAATATAAGAGCCTGTTCTGGTTCTCTCTCTGGATGCTGCAAATCTTGTGTGCTTGTGCAGGTTGGGATCAGAAAGTTGCTGTCTGTACATAGAGATCTTGCGCTATTGTTCTCAAACCTTAGTGAGGCTTGTAGAACCATAGACTGGGCTACCAAAAGAGTCATGTTAAGACTGATTAGATGTGTGCTTAATGAACGCTGCTGTGTGTGGGAAAGGGCAGTGCAAGTTGTCTTGCGTGGAGGCTTTATACAGTGTGCCAGGGGACTGACCAGTGCGGGACACCTTGGCAGCTGCTGAAACACTGGAACCAGTTGCAGAGAGGCTGTGAAGTCTCCCGTCGGTGGAGATACTCAAAACCTGTCTGGGCACAGCCCTGGTCAGCCTGCCCTGAATCAGCATCATGATCTCCAGAGGTCCCTGCCAAATTCTGCCGTGCTGCGGTATCTGTGAGGTCGTCCAGGTTTCAGCTTCAGTGCGGCTGCGTTACCTGGTGCAGAGTTGCCTGCCACAAGCTCCCAACTATGGAAAAGCTTTGGAAGTAGAAAGTGAATCATCTGCTCAGCGCTTGGACAGGTGGGATATGGAAGTGCCTGACCTACCTTCAGCTAGCTAGATGTTGTGGTGAGCCAGACTTGGTTTTTATGAGGGGTTTGGATGAAGAGCTGCTGTGCTGGCATACACTGAGGTAGCAGCAGGGATCAGGTGGTGTGATGGGGTGCTGTTACCACTGATACTGGTGCTTCATTCTGGTTGAAAAGTGACGTTCTTATGCCAGCAGTCAGCATGGAGTATATGCAGTGGTATGTAACATAACCCACTTTCTGATCAGGGTAAGATTCAGCTTTGCAAAAGGTGGCCCTGGGGTTGTGGAAGTGTCATGGGCATTTGATATTCTCTCTGCCTGTCTTGTGTTGTGAAAGAATAGTAAACAGATGATTGTGCTTTCTCTTGATCCCTTGTTCTGTAGCTGCAGGGTTCTGTATGAGAAGAGTTTTTGGCTACTTGAAATACTTGTCTGCAAGTATGTGTGGCAGAGGTTTTAGTACCCCCAAAAAAATACAGAAATGTGTGTGTAACATGGCATCAGAAAAAAAAAAATCAAGTTTTAGTCATAAGATCCTACAATCCCAGGTTGGAAAGGACCTCAAGGATCATCTGGTCCAGCCTTTCTAGGCAAAGCATGACCCAGACTAGGTGGCCCAGCACCCTGTCCAGCCCAGTCTTAAGTGTCCAGCGTTGGGGAGTCACTGCTTCCCTGGGGAGATTATTCCAGTGGCTGATTGTTCTCACTGTGAAAAATTTTCCTATTGTGTCCAACTGAAATCTCCCCAGGAGTAACTTGTGCCCATCACCCCTTGTCTTTTCCGTAGGACTCCTTGTAAAAAGGATTCTCCATGTTCTTGGTGTCCACCCTTTAAATACTGGGACATGGTGCTAAGGTCTCCCCTGAGCCTTCTTTTCTGTAAGCTGAACAAGCTCAGCTCTCTCAGCCTTTCCTCACACGGTTTCCCAGTCCTTGGATCATCTTTGTGGCCCTTCTCTGGACCCTACTTCAGCTTGTCTGTATCTTTTTTGTATAGTGGGGACAAAAACTGGAACACAGTATTCCAGGGGTGCCCTGGCAAGTGCTGAGTGGGACAATGGCATCTTTATCTCTCCTGGTTGATGTTCCCAGCATCCTGTTGGCTTTCTTTGCCACAGCTGCCCACTGTTCACTCGTATTGAGCTTGTGTCCTCCAGGATCCCTTTCCAAAATGCTGCTCCCCAGCTAGACAGATCCCATCTTGTGCTGCACACTTGGATTGTGTTTACCCAGGTGCAAGACCTTACCCTTTTCCTGTTGAACTTGGATTTCTTGAATTTGTTATAATCCAAATGATATTTTCTGTTTGTTGCATTGAATTTCCACTTTGGGACAAATTGGTGGCCTTAGCATTGTGTTGCATCTCACATGAAGTGTTTGCAAGGCTGCACTGGAATGTTTCCAGAGAAGTGGAGGAGTATCTTTGGTGCAGGGTGCTCTTCCCAATCCTGAACTCACACTTGTGTGTAGCTGAGTTTATGTAATCCTGGCAATGATAATGTTTTATGCTTGTGTGAATGGAAGGAATGACTAGAGACCCTGAGCAATTGCCTAATATGTAATTTAGTTTGAAATGTAAGAGGTATTTTAAAAGCCAAACCTGTTTCTTTCAGCACTTGTGTTTGCTTTGGTTTCCTGTGATATGTCTCTGAACTTCACTGTGTATTTGTCTCTCCTACCTGAAGTGAACCAGAAATGTATGTATTGTGTTGCAAGGTTAAGGAAGTGTCCTGATGTCCTCTGTTTCCAGTCAAACTTTGTCTTGGATTTGCAGTCATGCAAAAGGAAAGGAATACTCTTGAGTGGGTTCTTCTTTAACATTTCTCCTAAAATCAGAGGGTTTATTTCGTGTTAGCTAATCTTTGTTTGCAAAAATAACTCTGAATTGGAAAGGTTTCCGCTTTTAACTTTCATGAGTGCTGTTGTAGCATAAAGCTAATAAAGATTTCAGAATTTAATATGCAACTCCTGAAAAACTAATATGCAAATATTAGCTTTGGAATGTGTAATGTTTTCTTCTTAATGAACGTTAATGTTTCACAACAGGTAAAGAGAGAAAATCTGATATTTTCCTCATTGCAATTAGTAGAAACGGTTCCCAGTGCAGTACTAATAACCAAAATAGCTATTAGGATGTAAAGCTTGTCAAAGAGCCAGGCACAACATGTTTATGTCACAGAAGATCTAGATGAGATCTGAGGCAGAAGTTCTTCCCTGTGAGGGTGGTGAAGCCCTGGCACAGGTTGCCCAGAGAAGCTGTGGCTGCCCCATCCCTGGCAGTGTTCAAGGCCAGGGTAGTTGGGGCTTGGATCAACCTGGTCTAGTGGAAGGTGTCCCTGCCCGTGGCAGGAGGTTGGAACTGGACGAGCTTCAAGATTCCTTCCAACCCAATCTATGATTTTAGGTTCTCTGTGTGACTATAAGACAAACTCTTCCTATTCTATGTGAATGTGATGTACAGTCTTCTGGCCAGCTTGGCAACCTTACCCCCTGCATTTCAAGGTGTCCAGACAGCAGGAGCACATCTTATCTCTCCCTTCTCCAAAATCCTGGAATATTCACGCTGGTGCTGGACTGCAGGCAAACTGAAATTGCTTACAACTAAGAAAGTGATGCTGATTCTTGTGCGAAGATGTAGTGTCTTTCTAAAAGGTATGAGCCAAAATATTTATCCAGGTTTTCCATGTGGTCATTAGGATAAGAGACTGGTGTTTCTGTTGTTAATAATCTAATTATTTTTAGTTGTATTACAGGGTGGGGGGAGGGCTAGGTACATCATTGTAAAACAGTCCTGTGGGCATTAAATATAATTGAATCTGAAATTTAAAGCATGGTGGCTGTACTTAGAGTTTGTTGTCCCTCGTATGCTTCCATATAGCTGAAAGTGGATGCTTAGAAAAGAATACAGAACAAACCAGCACCTATGATGTCTCCTTCAGCTTCTAAATATTTCAGGCTTACAGAATTCCTAAGCAAGCTATGTATAAAACCTTAATGGGTTTCTTGTCTGTGTGAACCCATTGTACCTTCTTTTCTAGAGTTCTCTACATTCAAGATGGTGAAGATGAGTTGTTAAATGTCAGATGCCTACCAGGTTTTCATAGGTCACCTCTGTTTGCGTCTCGTATTCAGTTTTCTGATGCAATCATAAATAGTGATTTCCTGTGGACAAAATTACCTATTTCATATGCTTTGGGTCTCTTATTGTCCCAGTCTTATTCTGGAGAAGCCAGGAAAAATGTGTTTATTCCCTTGCAGATAAAAATATAAAAATCTTGGATAATCACAGCTTTGAACTGTATGAAAAAATCAGTCTTGCACTGAAGCCTTTCACTTCTCAAACACTGTTGAGAACCAACTTTGCTTTTAGCTTGAGATTTAGGGAAAAAAAAAAAGGAAAAGGTCAGAGGGTAGGTTTCTTCTCCATCTTTCCTAGAAATCTGTGTGGCGGTTTATTGTAATGTATTGTCTTAACCTTTTCTTAGGGCTCTTTCTATTGCATTTTTCTACTTTATAAATCAAATTGCAAGCTGAAGCTGACCACTTCCGACATCTGTGATTCCGTTTGCTCTCAGTGAATGGCTAGACATAAATCTTACAGTCAAGTTAAAATCTGTCTTGACGAGAAGCGACTGCATTCGTTTATTTTACTGTGTAGCATACTCTGGCTACTTACACTTCCCTCCCTCATTCCCCATGCAAAAATAACTCTCTGAGTTTCCTTAGCTGTAAAGCTTGCTCTGGTCTCTTGTAACTGGCATGTTGCTAATAGTTAAAGCTCTGAAAGCTCTTCAGCCTGTGTCCAAGAGCACTTCCCCTAAGACCACGTTGCTGACAGCTAGCCTCAATCCTTCTTTTCTAATTGGCATTTTGGCATCTCCTAGGAGTACTGCTTAATTGTCTTCCTGCTAAGCTCCTTTTCTTCCTTCCTCTCGGATGGTTTGGTTCCTAGCTCTGCTTCTGCGGGTCCTGTCTGACCAGCAGCCACTCACAGCCAGTGCCTGACGTCTGTTCAGTTGCTGTTCTCTCTCCACTTGTGTTTTTGGCCCTTTCTTCCCTTAAGCAAAACCCAGTCATCTGATCAAATTGCCTGTAGGCTCATAACAAATTCTTGGTGTGGTATCTGTTTCTTTTGCCTCTTCTGAGCAGGTACAGTGCTGGAAATCTTTCTAAAGCCTGTTGCTAATGTTTATTTTCCTTGTATTTCTCTATTTTTTCTAATGAGCTTGCTTTCTTTCCGATTTCTAGCTGGATACAGTGCCTTGGCTGAAGTGTTGCACATGCTGGAATTGCCCAACCCCCTGATGTGTTCCGGGATGGCAGCTAGGTGACGACAATTGAGGATGACCCTGACTGAAAAACTGCGTGAGAGGATATCGCGGGCGTTCTACAACCACGGGCTGTTGTGTGCTTCCTACCCCATCCTCATCATCCTCTTTACTGGTCTCTGTATTCTGGCCTGCTGGTAAGTCATGCAAAGGACTTCTTGTCTCAGGGGGCTGCTGTTTTGTGGGATTTTCATAGCAATGCCATGAATGTGCTTGGGTTTCCCTGTCCAGTGAGCTATCCCAGAAGCTCTTCTATATTTTTGATAATTGTTTCTAAATGTATTAGGTTTTTGTCGTGTCTTTCAGTGGGACAAAAGAAAAGACAGGAATGAAATAACTTCATGTGGTTTAATAAGTAAATAGTAAAACCTAATTGAATAAGTGAACTAAAGCAGTAAATAAAATACAAGGAATCCCCAAACACCTGGTGGTGGACTCCAATCCCGTGAGTTAAAAATGGGGAGAAGGAAGGTTGATCTTTCTCTCCATATTTGCCTATTCTGTTCTCCCTTCAGCTGGTACTCTTCTTTTTCAACCCTTGCCTTGGCACATATGTGTTGTGTGTTCTTGTAAACTCTCTGCTCTCCTTATGAACTCTTAATTTGGATACTAGTTGCAACTGAATATAATTTCATTCCCAGAAATGTTACATGGGCCTCCTAATTGTCTCCGATGAGGCAATATTACTACTGGAGTTGAGAAAACTTTTGTGCTCAGATTTGTGGATAGACACATACATATACAGGTTCTGTTTTCAGGTTTTAATTCTAAGTATCTTTGGTCAAAATAAATCCTATGTGATGATCTACTTTTCTTTTATAAAAGCTCACCCTCTGTTTCTACAGATACAGATGTAGATTTTTCTTTGAGCACTGCTGAGGATAGGACAGACTTCATCCACATCTACAGTTAAAAGATTATATATGAATTGAGGTGTTTCCACCGAGTTCCCGAGGCTTCAAACCGGGTTGTCTCTGGCAGATTAGCTACTGGTAATTGTGTATTTGTGGAAGTATTTGAGGATTCTCCAGTAATTGGTTACCTTTAGGCTGCAGAAATTTGTCCAACACACCAGCAGGTGTAAAGGGATTAGTTTTATGTTTTCTTTAATGAGTTTCAGTAACTCATTAGAAAAGCAAATAATGGCCTGAGGAGAGACCAGGTTTTAAAAATACAATGACAGTTTCTTTCCCAAAAAGGTTGTCAAGCACTGGAACAGGCTGCCCAGGGAAGTGGTGGAGTCACTGTCCCTGGAGGGATTTAAAAGACCTGTAGATGTGGTACTTAGGAACATTTAGTGGTGGGCTTGCTGTGCTGGGTTAACGGTTGGACTCTTAAAGGAGCTTAAGGGTCTTTTCCAACCCAAACGATCCTGTGATTCTCTGGCACCTTTTGAGAGCAGCGTACCTCGGCAAAAAAAAATTGAAGCATGGTGAAAGTGCTCCCTCTTTAGAAGTGATTTCTGGGGCTATTTCGGTTCCAGTTCTGAGCTGCTCTGTATGAGCTGGTACCAGGTGTTTATTCTGGCTTCAGAAGTGGCATTACTAACAGGGTCAAAACTATTCCAGAGTGCAGTACCTTCTACACTGGAGCATTTCAGTGTGGTAAGGCTGAACTCTGACAGGATAATAGTGTACAGGATACTCCAAGATATTTATTGGAAGTTTAGTTTTGGGTTGAGGTCTTCAAGTCTCTTAGTTTGAGCCTGGGGTCTGACTTCTTCATGGTTGACCTTGATGGACTGCACCCTCAGCAAGTTTGCAGGTGATACAAACTTCATGTATCATGCACTAGAAGGTGGAAAACTGGGTAAGTGGCTGATACACCAGATGCCTGCATGGGCAGAGAGAAACCTCATGAAATTTGACACAAGGAAATGTAGAAGGAAGAATAACCCCAAGCATCTGTGCAGCCTGGGGGTCAGTGCTCTGGAAAGCAGCTTTGCAGGACGGTACCCAGAGGTCCTGGTGGACACCAAGAGGAATGCAAGCCAGCTGTATGTCCTGGGGGCAGAGGTGGCCCACAGTGCCCTGGGCTGCATTGGGGAGGAGGTTGCAGAAGGTCAAGGGAGGCAATCCTTCCCTTCCACACAGCACCAGTGAAGCCCCACCTGGAGTGCTGGGTGCGGTGCTGGGCTTCCTGTTAAAAGGACATAGTATTAGGTGAGAAGGCCGGCAGAGGGCCATGAAGATGATGAAGGGGCTGGAGCATCTCTCCCATGAAGAAAGGCTGAGAGAGCTCTGTTCAGCCTAGAGAAGAGAAGGTGCAGGGAAACTTATCACCATGCATAAATATATGAAGAGAGGGTGTAAAGAGAATGGGTATTCAGTGACAGGACATGAGGCAATAGGCACAAGCTGAAACACAGGAGTTTCTTATATGGGTGGAGATGAGGGTGTTGCTCAGGTGTCAGTGTTGGGACTGGTGCTGTTCAACACCTTTGTCAGTGACATGGGCATTGGGATTGAGCACCCTCAGTAAGTTTGCTGATGACACTGACTGTGTGGTGCAGTCAACACGCTGGAGGAAAGGGATGCATCCAGAGCTGGTAGTCATTAAGATGACTACTAATTTCTTCTGTATTCCTGTTATTTCATACCATTTTATATATTCAGGCATCCTGATTAAAAAAGGAATTACTGTCCTTTCATTGGCCTTGGTACCCTGCCCCCACAAAACCTATAAAATTTTACTTTAGCTGACGAAAATGAAAAGACTTGTTCAGAAGGAACTAAAGGGAGCTGTGGCATAGCCACCTCCTGGGGAAGCTTTCTCTTGGCTGGAGGAGCTCACTGATGGCCACAAAGGATCACATCTGCATTTTTCCCTGCAGTCATATCATGAGGACTCTGAGTAATGGTCTTTGGCACCGATACACTGCTGGAATTTAATTTGTGCTCTTCAGAAGTATTCCAGATTCTTAGGACAGATCTTACTGATTCATCTCAGCCACTCACTGCAAAAATGAGTGAGAAACGTGCTGAAATTTGGAGAAAGAAGAAGGTGGAAAAAAAAATCTAGGCCCAGCTTCAAGGTGGAAGCTCATTTTTAGGCAATGTTTCTGTCCAACAGGATTGATTAGAGACCTTCAATACTGTTTGCATAGTAGTGCCGATTAGTGTCTGAAGCATGGAGCAATTAAGTAGTAGGAACTACAGGTCTTTGTAACAAGAAAAGAAGAAACACAGGTGATCTGGTGGTTTCATGCTGACTTTTATCAACAGAGAAGGAGCTAATGACATCCCAGTGTTGCTGAGGTTAGTCCCTGTCCTGGAAGAAGAGAATGGAAAAAAGGAGAAGGTGGTAGAGCAAAAAGGAAGAATTCTGTATTTTTCAACCTTAAGCATTGTTAATAAAGACATTGTATTGTTCAGGTGAGCAGTAGATCGTGTATCCTGACTTCTTAAAAGGGAGAGAGGTGAAACAGTTTTCTTCTTCTGCACCTGCATGGACTCAGCATCAAGGAGAGCTTGTAAAATTCTGCTGCAGAAGACATTAACTCAGTTGTTCTCGTTTTCCTCACTCTCACCTCAGTAATAGTTGTCCATCTCTGTGTTCAGATAACATTTTTAAAGCTGAATTTGTCCAGCATGAGTCTTGGTTCTCAGTCAGTGTGACAACAGTTAACATGCAGGTGTTTCTCCTGTTCTGAAAGGTCAGGTGTTAAGGATCAGGTCGCACAGTCATCATACTGTAGTGTCTGCTGCAGGCTGGTTGAATACATTCTCTCTTCAACTTTGGAAGTATTTTGCGTAGACACTGTTTTTAATGTCACCTGTAGACAGGACATTGCGTATCTGTTAATTAATATTCAAAGCAAAAATTCCTATGACTCATTCTTACTCTGTAGTCTTATTCAAAGTCTGAAAATCCAAGTTAGTTCTCACTTCAGAAGGGAGGGTTTTCTGCTGAACGACCTATTCTTGGGCATGTTACTTCTTGCTTACTATATATTCCTTGGTAGATGACATTCATTTTCATCACCCCACTTAAACGGGTTTGCATTAAGATCTGGATTTTTGAGTGCCACTCAAGATAATCTGACAGAAGAGTAGTTCCTCCTCCCTGGCTCAGAAAAGAACAGATGACACCTATGAATCTGGTAATCAGGGTAAATTTTAAGTTCCTGTGTAGTTCTGAAGAACAGTTTTTAGTTAAAGAAAGAATTTAAAATCAACTAATTGTCTCTGTGAAGCAGGTTTAGGAGAATGAAGCAAGGGGAGTCTTTGCAGGTGTTCATTAGTTGGCTGAAGCACTAGGTTCTGCTCCTAAAGAATTATGGAACTGACTGGAAGCAGAGCCCACACAGTGTGTGTGTGCATATACATACTTCTTTCTAAAAGAACATTTCACTAACTTACAGGTTTGTACTGTCTTGTGTGATAACCAGAGGAGCCAGTTGCTTTCAGATTCTTCGTGTTCCAAATCCACAGAGAAGAGAGTCTCCTGTGGGACTGCGTGATGAAACTAGAAGCAAGTTCTCTGTAACAAAACCTCACTTCGGCTTCACAGAAAAAGGAAAGCAAGCAGCACAGAACGAGGGGAATCTTTACTTCTGCAGTGCAGATTTTTGAGGGCCCTGTCAGGGGGAAACAAGGCAAAGAAAACATTTATTCAGAAATGGGTTTTGTTTATGCACTTAGCAGGGCTAAAAAGGGAACTGTTGCTTCCGAATATCCGGCCTTCCCTACCCTCTGGCAAGACCCTTTATCAAATTTCCTATCTCTCATTAGCAATGGGTTTTCAAGTTGTTCTGTCTTTGTGGTAGTTTAAGCTGGAAACAGGCTAAAAGCTTGTTCTACAGTGTGCAAAATGGAGGTGGTAGCTATTTTAAGGCAATGTATCACCACCTTCCTTGTTACCTAAGACCTGGCATCTCTCTCCATCATATTCACCAGCTGAAGAGTATTCTGGCATGGTGGTGATCTCTGCTTTGATTCTGAGGAGGAGGAATATGCAATTGTAGGGTTTGCAGCTCTGTTGAGTTGCCAGCTGCCTCAGGCTGACCTGGCAGTTCTCCATCTTGGCCCTCTAAGCTGTCTTGAAAATATGTAAAGTAGTTGGATGAACATTTTTTGCTTGAACCTGTCTCATGCTTGGTAACTAAAACACACTCTTGCTTGAATTCAGCAATACCAACCTGTAGATGGTCTGTTTTCCCATTATTTTGGATATGCAGAAGGGTTTCAGGGTGCATGGCAACATGAGCATCTAAAAAGAAACTTTCTCAAAATTGAAACATCTTTGGAGCTTTCCTGTCATCTGTTTTAGGTCCTACTTTTCTTCCCTCCTTTCTCTGTGCTTTCCATACTGATGTTCATTTCTTTCCCTCACTGTCAAAAAAAATCTCTAACAAAGAGAAATGAGAGGAGAACCAAACCAGAGTGCTAGAAATGATAGATTGGTTTGGGTTGGAGGGCACCTTTAAGAAATCACTTCCCTGAAACTCATTTGGAACAGTTCTTGCCTTTGGTGGGAAGTGCACATAGAAGCAACCTAGGCTTGTTGCATCTCGCAGTCCTTGCAGCGTTTGGTGTCTGTGGGAAGCCAGGGTGCTTCTGACAGCTCACAGCAGCTCTGGTTTGGTGTTTTTAAGTATCTCTTTACTTGAAAAATACTCTAGCAGTGACATCTGAAGCAGTTAGTCTGGTGAATTTTGCTCTATCACTGGATGGTTCTTTCTCACTCTGTCCTTTTTTTATCTCTACTGTCAGTCTGTCAGGTGTCACTGACAAGATCAGGTGCTGTCACATGCCTGTATAACATTAAAAAAAATTCAAGAACTAATGTCTTAGCATCTTACTGAAATAACAAGTGTAATCCGGAACACATACTTTGTGTGTTCTTCCATCAGACATTCTCAAAACCTTTCATCAACATGAATCTTCAAATATCACTGTGATATAAGTAAATATATGTGCCTGCTTCCCTTGTGAGGACATAAATACATGTTGTAGTTGGCTCAAGGTGAGGGAGCTTTTGAAAAAAGTCCCAACAGTAGGTCTCATTCCTGAGATCTGCTGCAAAACCACACCATGAGCAATCTGTGCTATCTAGATCATGTTGCAATAAGGACTATAGGAGCTAAAGATAGTTGCTGAAAATGGGGATTATAAAAAAAGCTGGAACTTTATTTTTCTGTGCTGGACAATCTGCTAAGCAGCCCTGTTCCTGGTGGGTGTACATCAGTGTCTTTTAATGCCACAGCTGCTCTAGTCTCAGTAAAGTATCGTAGAACAGAACCCTAGAATGGTTTGGGTTGGAAGAGACCTTAAAGCTTATCCCACAGGCAGGGATGCTCTCCACTACACCACGTTGCTCCAAGCCCTGTCCAGCCTGGCCTTGAACACTGCCAGGGATGGGGCAGCCACAGCTTCTCTGGGCAACCTGTGCCAGGGCCTCATCACCCTTACAGGGAAGAACTTCTTCCTCAGATCTCAGCTAAATCTCTCCTTATTCAGAATTTGAAGACAGAATCACCAAGGACGAAAGCTCTTGCTGAAGGTAATAACTATGAAGCTATGACTGAAAACTCTTAGCACTGTTCTTAGCAGTGATGAGTATTAGAATTAGGACTTACTAGCTTATAGGGAAATGAAAATAATTCCATGTTCTTTGTCAACACAGCTTTTGTTGGCTGAGCAGACTGGAAGTGTAAAGGAGGCTGAAGGAGCCCATCAGTGTGACCCCCAGAAAATTTTAGACTGGGTAGAGAAAGTCTAATGCTGTTTTGTGTCACCCTCTTCTTTGCCTGCTGTGGGGATGGATTAAAAAGATGTATTGGAGGGAGAATATAGATCCTTTACTAAAGCATAAATCCTGTTCCATAGTCACAACTTAATCAAATTGCAGGTAAACACTGAAGTTTTTAGATGTCAACAGATGTACCCTGACCACATGCCTGAAGAGAATGGCGGAAAATGGGAATTGTAGTTGCCTCGGTTTGCCAGCGGCTGCAGCAGGATATAGTCCTCAGCAATGCACTGACATAGATTTTATATTTTTTTCTTTCCATCAGAAATTTGCCTTTTGTTCTTCCTCTCATTTTATTGCCTTTGAGTCTTCCAAGAAATGCCATTTACTCTTTCGCCCCCCCACTGCATTTGCTTGTACAAGTTTGGAAATCCTAACATAATAAAACCCAACAAAACAAGACCTAAAACCCATGGTCATTCAGAAATAGCCATTCAGGAGATGGTAGGTGCTGTGTCCTGTATTTTGGGAGGTGGTTTGCACTGCAGGATGGAACTTCACTTCTTCCCTTCTACAGAAAATTAAACTAGTTTAACAACAGAAAAAACAGATACTGAATTCTTGGCTAACCTTCCCATTAGCTGCCACCCAGCAGCCTGAAAATAGTGAGGCCCTGGCACAGGTTGCCCAGAGAAGCTGTGGCTGCCCCATCCCTGGCAGTGTTCAAGGCCAGGTTGGACGGGGCTTGGACCAACCTGATCTAATGGAAGGTGTCCCTGCCTGTGGTAGGAGGTTGGAACTGGATGAGCTTTAAGGTCCCTTCCTAAAATGGCCAAACCATTCTGTAATTCTATGATTTTCCCTTGGAGTTATGGACACAGTCATCAACATCAAAATAATTTTGTGGAAAAAATCTTCCTTCCTCGGTCACCTGTTTGATTCATTCTGGTTTGTTTATCACATACACTGGCTGTTAATATTTTAATTTATGTCTCAGCCTCAGTGAGACACAGACTGATTGCTGAACCTCCCCCAGGCTTTTGTTTTCAGCAGATCATTTTTGACAAGCAGGTGCTCCCTGTCATTTAGAAGGACTAAAACTATTGCTGTGAGAGGAAAGAGGTAGCGCTGGACCTCCAGCTTGTGGCTTCTGTTGGGCATTTTCTTTTCAGATGTGTTACACCAGATTTTATTAGTCCTTTTTCTCTTCCCTCCCACCACACAATGAAATGATAATAATTAGGTGGTGTATTTTTGTCAGACTAATAAAATAGCAAACCCAACAAGCTTTGCTTCCTATTTCATTGTTCTTTTCCAGCCATTTGTCATTTAGTCTGAAGCCTTGGCTTCAGCTGTTGCTTGTCCCTTCCATGCCCTTTGGTGATCCAAGCTAATCCCTAACAAAATGTGCAGAGTATTGCATGAAAACAATTCCAAGGCCTTTATATTTATTCTGGCAATATTGCAAGAAAAGCTGAGCTGTAAGCAGGCAAATATGTCAGAAATTTAAGGCTGGATAGATTGTCATGCATCAGGCAGCACGAAGAAGTTACATTCTCTGGTTCATTCTGGTTCTGACCATTCCAGCTTCTTGGTTGCTATCTCTGTAACAGCAGTCTTACTTTTTCCACCAGTTCAATTCTTATACAGTTTTAGCCACCTACGGTTTTGAGAGCCTCTGAGAACACTCTTCTAAACTCCCTGAAACCTCAGTTTCTCAACTTACAAATAGTTTGAAGTCTTTGTTGTGGAGTAGCTGCTACAATTGCCTGAAGATTGTAGTAGTAAAGGAGCAAGAAGAGAGATACATTGTAGCTGTTTTGGTGTCTCATTGCTACTATTCAAAGTGCTCTGAGCACCAATGAAGCTAATGACAAATAGTGGAAATAGTTTAAATCTTAAGGAGGAAAATCTGGTGATTAGTATAGAGTTGGGGTCAGGAAAGCAGCCATCTGAATGAGATGAAAGTCTCATTTTCATGTGGGCTATGGAATAGTAGAGACATGGCTGTGCTGAAAATTCTTAGCACTGCTAGCTTTCAGGTGAGGTCCTGCAAGAACTTCAGTTCTTTTTCTCCAAGGACTTTTAGTTATGCCTTTCCAATGGAGAAAGACCAATTTTTTCTTGTGTTAGGGAAACACGTCAGAGAGTTCCAATGGGAACTAAAGCCCTCTTGTATTGCAGCTGTGTCTCCTGTCCTGCAGAGTTTGGCTTATACTGGAGTGGACTCATTTTTTTGAGCTCTTCTGCCTAAAAGCCTCATTAAAAGAACCCAAAACAAAACACCACAATATTTCTTGCTTACATCTTAACCGTAGTTACCCACTGCTGAAACTGCCACTGCCTGGAACAGGACCTGTGGAGTACAGCACCCCCGTGAAGGATTACTCTGCGCCCTCTCCAGACACAGGTCTGCAGCAAGGGGACCTTGGCGAGCGTCCCGACTGGGTGAGTCCTGCATTGAGGGGCTGGGGGGTTGTGTGAAATCAATGAAGTGATGGAACATCCCTCATGAGTTACCTGCACTTTACTGTATCAATGGAAAATACTTCTGGTGATGTGTTGTTTTGTGTAACTGTTCAGTTTAGGCTGTAATTGTTTTGTATCAGTGGTGCTGTATCAGAAAAATTGAAGAGTTAAAAGCTCCTAAATGCTCTGTAAGAGCCCATTGTCCAAGGACAACTTTATCTGAGGCAAGTAGCACACTTTTAAAAGCATTATTAGGTTTTAAATAAGTTTAATGATGGGTTCTGGGATAACAGGTGCCAATTTCCTAACATCTTATAAAGGCACACAGTTTCCCTAGAGCAGCAGGACAAACTGTCTGCTGACCTTGCTTCCCATCCCTGCCTGTCGCCTCCTCCAAAGGGCGAGAGTAAGATTTGTTCAGCATTTACTGCTGTGAGTGTCCGTGGAGATGCTACCAGTAATTACAATAGTGGGTTTGGTGTTGTCAGGCTCTCTCTGAAGGACCTAGATTTTGTCTGTCTGGCCTGGAGGTGGAAAACAGACTGTCCAGCTCCTCAGCTCTTGCATCTTTCTCTACTTTGGCTTGAAAAATATTGCATCTAGCACAGTTTTTTTCCTGATAGGATAGGCAGTTTAGGCTTCACCTCCTGGACACAGACTATTTTCTTAAGGTCACAGTCAAGAGTTTTTGATTTGAAATCAAATTTATGCAGCTAAAGACTCTGTCTGTGGAGCTAACTACTACACTGTGGTCTAGGGAGCATAGAGATGCTTGAAGGACCTGATGAACAGAGTATAATCTAAAGGTGGGGTTTGGTTTTGTTTTTAGTTGACTGTTACATATCATTCAAGTAAATGAGACTTATGTCCTTACGTTAAGGGTCAAGAACTAACTTTTCTTTTGTATGAGCAACCTGGAATCCTGATGCTTTCCAAGAAGGCTGGTAACCTGGTCCAGGAAACAATTCGAAAATCATTCTTTGTAACCTGTATTTTTCTTTTTCATTCTGGTGTCTCTCTCAAGTAGAAGTTAGCTGTTGGTTTAATGCTTTTGATGCTTCCAGCTCTCTACTCTCTCCATGTGTGCTCTTCTCACTGTGATTGAAATCATTTGCTGTCTTCTGCACTTGCTGGTACCTCTGAGAGCTTTTTGCACTGTGCTGTTAACTCAGGCTGCTGCTGGCTGATTAAATCTTCCCTATGGTTCTGTAATTCTGCTTTGTTGCCTAGTTCAGCTAACAGAACACAAAAACTCTGTCTGCCACAGCATGTCAGGACTGCAGTCCCCAGAGCTGGGTCAGCAGCCTAGGCACAGACACCAGGAGGATTTAAATGGCACATGGCCGAGTCACCACAGGTTGGGGGAACCACAGCATTGTGAGAGGCATCTGTGAGAGGCAGTGGGTCCCTGCTCCTGCCTTTCATTTCAGTACCAAATTCAGAACAGAGAAGCACAATAGACCGATGCCAAAACGGTCAGTGGCATTTTGCCTTTTCGAGAAACAGACTCCTTTTGTTCTTGCTAGGTTCCTACTGTCATGTTTCACCTCTAATTTGGGAAAGGAAAATACAGTCTGGCAAAGCCCTTCCTGAAAGGTTGCCAAGCTGTGGTCTAATTCTGCTAAGCAGCTTCCCACTCACCGTATGTTTCCATTCTCCCTCTGGTTTTCCCCACAGTATGTCGGTGCTCCGGTGGCCTACATCCAGCAGATCTTTGTGAAAGCTACCGTGTCCCCATGGCAGAAGAACTTCCTTGCTGTGGATGTATTTCGTTCACCCCTCTCCCGCGTCTTCCAGCTAGTAGAGGAGATTAGAAACCATGCCCTGAGAGACAGGTAATTACTGTTCATTACAGGTTGTGTAGAAGGCAGACCGGCCTTCTACACAGTGGGCTTACACGCCCATCTTCTCAATTACTGCATTGTAGTTCTAATATTAGCTTTGAATTTGTAAGATTCTCGAAGTTAAAAGAAAATGAGAGGTCACTGTGAATAGGTGACATATTCATGCTGCATGTAGGGCAGTTTATCATAGAGTCATAGAATCCTAGAATGGTTTGGGTTGGAAGGAACCTTAAATCTCCCCTCTTTCAGCTTAAAGACATTCTCCCTTGTCCTGTGTTTAGCTTTTGTGCTGGAGAACTTGCCTGTCCTCTAGTCACGTCTAATTGTCAGGAACCTTCCAGTTGGAGTCCTGGCAGAGAGGTCTGAAGGGGGCTGCCAAGGCTATACATGTTACAAAAGATAGCAGCATTGTGTGATCCCTTCGTAAGCATGCAGACTTTGTGTTAAGATAAGTTCATTTAACCCCACTATGCCTATTATGAAACTCTTCTTCATTTTGTGAATTCTTCTCCAAGGGCTGGAGCACCTCCACTATGGAGACAGGCTGAGAGAGCTGGGCTTGTTCAGCCTGGAGAAGAGAAAGCTCTGGGGACACTTTAGAGCAGCTTCCAGTGCCTAAAGGGGCTGACAAGAAAGCTGGAGAGGGGCTTTTGGCCAGGGCAGGTAGGGACAGGACAAGAGAGAATGTCTTTGAACTGCCAGAGGTTTAGGTTTAGATGAGATCTGAGGAAGAAGTTCTTCCCTGTGAGGGTGGTGAGGCCCTGGCACAGGTTGCCCAGAGAAGCTGTGGCTGCCCCATCCCTGGCAGTGTTTAAGGCCAGGTTGGCTGGGGGTT